AAGTAAACAGAGCTGCAGTTCACAGCCCTGTCCATAGATTTGAAATAGGCAGTGCTTTGGACATAAAGTGCTGGGATGCAGGTGGTGCCTAGACTTTATGCTGATCTGTAGTGTAAAGGAGCAGTGTTCAGGTGAACAAAACAAATCACATCTGTCATCCTAAATTAGACCACATGTAATTTTGAGGTTCTTTGATTACAGTGAGATCTAGGTTATGCTTTCTTATTATGAGGTATTTTACAACAGTATAGCCTCATTCCTGTCCCTTGCAAAATTGTTTCTTTCTAAATCTGTATTAGTCCACCCACATCGACTTGCAAGGCAGCCCCACTAACAGCTGTTTCTGCCTAGCTGGGAGAAAGTGCAGGATTAAAATAAATGGAGGGGAAGGAAAGACTCTTTCCCCATGCTGCTGCCAAATATGCTGTTATGCAAAGTTGGGTATCATTATGCCTTAAATGGTTACCTGAGGATTGCTAGGTGAATTTCTCTCCACACAAAAAGTTGAGCTTATCAAGAGTATGGATCCTTGGTAGTTTCCAGGCTACCAGAGCAGCAGCAAAGGCTGTTTGGTCCAATGACCCCTAGTTCACGTTGGTGTAGGAGTAGTGTCTGCAGCTCTTCACTGAGGCAGTTTTCGTGGGTAAGTGGGGCATGAAGTTCATTCCTACCACCTTCCTGACTTGTGTACAGCCTGAACAACTGTCAGGAAATCATGACCCTATGGGAACAGAATATCCATCTATTTCCCTATGGAAGCTGGTTTTTCCTCTTCTGTAGTTGATGTAGTTCCTCCACAACTTCCCCCTTCACTTCTCCACATTACTGAAAGTCATTCTTGTCAGGCAGAGCGAAGGTTTGGCCTGCCAGCAAGTACATGTGGATCAGGTTTTGGGATGTCTGATACTGTTGTGAGGTTTTGGTTTTTTTTGTTTTTGTTTTTTTTTTTTAATTTTATTGCTGTCCTTTTCAGAAAAGCCTCTTATTTGTAAAGGACTGTGAACTATTCAGTGTTTCCCAGTGGTTTTATTTGTTCTCTGAAAAGAAGTGTCTGATCATTGTTTTTCTTGATGTATGTGAATTTTGTCCATTACATGCATTTAATTAGAGACTACAATTGTTGTTACAAGTAGTATTTAGATTTGAGTTCTGAATGACAATTATCTTTTGCTGGATTGTTCTTTCTTCCCGAGGAGAAGTGCAGGCCAGCAGACCCACCAAGTGGGTTTGGACTTGCAGGTGGGTAGGTCCAGGAGCAGCATTCATAGCCATGGCTCAGGCATACTTCAGTGGGGGTTGTGCGGGCAGATTTATGCGCTGTGGGTAGTAGGCTCAGTTTCTGGTAGATTAAAATAAAGAGGAGGATGCATGAAAATCTGTCAGCTTAGCACACCTTTTCAGAAAGGGAGGACTAGATTGCTCCCTTCTTTGTTGAGAAATGAGGGAGAAGATGACCATGCCCATCCACTGCACCCTAGTGGGTTCAGAGCATACTTAAGAGGAACACCAATTTCATGCTTCAGTTGGTGTAATTCTGAGGCCAGAAGAGTGCCAGGCTCTGAGGGCATGATGTGATTCTCTCCTGTTGAAACTGTCTCCAAGTGCAGGCAAGATGAGAAGTGGAATTTTGTGGGACTGGGCAGTGAAAGTAACAGAGTATAGAAGGGCAGTTTCTCTACTTCTCTTAGGAGAGCAGCATATGTGTTACCCATTGCTGCCTTTGTGCAGGTGTCTGAGTGGGTGGGACTGGGCAGTGAAAGTAACAGAGTATAGAAGGGCAGTTTCTCTACCTCTCTTAGGAGAGCAGTATGTGTGTTACCATTGCTGCCTTCCTGCATGTGTCTGAGTGAACAGGGCTGTTATTGCACTGCTTTATTTTGACTTCACATCTCTGGTAGGTGTTCACACAGAAGACCATCTCAGCTTCTGTTCAGAGACCTGGTTGTGAGGGCTTTTGTGGGTAGAGTATGACAAATGCAGAAACACTGGATAACTCACTACAGTTATGGTGTTCAGGTATTCCTTGTATAGCTCATGCTAATCTGTTTTCTCTGTTTCTAAACAGAACATTTTCCTCACTGCATCTTTGATCATATGCTACATATCAAGTATCTTAATTTTCCACGTGCTTTATATTAGAGGGCTGAAGTTCATCATTGTCTTTGATAAACAAATGACTACTCCAATGCAATGTAATTTCAGCATTAAGTTTTACAGGAAGTCTTATAAAAACAGTCAGCTTAAGGAAAGCAGTAGATAATTAAATTGTATCTACTTTAAGCTCTGAAGGGAATTTTGCACTTATACTTGGTTTAGGCAAAAGAGTGTTTTCTTTCATCTGTGTAAGGGAGCAATTCATAAAATCAACATTTCTGTGTCTCATCTGTGCTTGCAGTGCTTGATCTTCCCCCTGCCTCTGTTTAACTTCCTGCTAGTTGTATTCCTTTTCGTCTTTGCATGAAGACTTTGGGCCTCTTCCACAGCACATTGTTTAATCAGCCCTTGTTTGTACTGGAACATCATGGATGTTGTTGAGTTAGGTCAGGGCAGTCAAGATGTGCAGTGTGTACAAGGGTTTTGTGCCAGCAGAGTGTATCAGTTTACCTGGCACTAGGGGAAAGCTCAAGTTTCCTGGACACATTGGCAGACTTCTTGGTGGTTTTTCCTGAAAAACCAATTGCTGCAAAGGATTCTTGTGAACTGAGTGAAAGTAATGAGTAAAGATACTATTTTTTAAGGAGTCTGACCTGACAGATTTATCAAATGATGGCTTTGTCCCCTTTTCCTGGGAGCATTTAGTAGACCTTTTTTTCCCAACTTGCTTTTGAATTCTAGTTAAGGTCTCCCTGCTTTTGCATCAAGTCTCAATTAAATGCAATTCATGGCTTTCAAAAGGCTTTTAAAAATTATTTTTCCTTTATTTGATGTGGGCTTTTTTGGACAGTTCTTGTCGAACAGCTACGTGCAGTAAAACACTGTGGAAAGCTGACACAGATCATCATTGCCTAACTTAGACATTTAGCAATTAAATTGTCTCCATTTTGAAGTACATCTAAATGATGTTTTCTGTGTTGAAGCTGGGATTAGGAAGTTTGTGCTGTGTTTTCAGATAATTTAATGCCCTGTCAAAAAAAACAGCAAATGTCAGTAATTGTCAGTATCACAATCGTTCCAGTTAAAAGGAAATAAATAAGGTGTCATAAGTGAAATCCTCTAATTTTCATCTGTTTGAAGATGTGCATTTATAGATTCAGTTCAAAGGAGCCAGGAGGAATGTTTCCAAGTGCAGTTCCCTATTGGATAGAAATATCAAATTATTTTCCTTTCCCTGTATTTAACCTTGTATACATGTGTGATGCTGTATGTTTTTGCAAGAAAGGTTAAAGGGAGAGAGCGCCTTTTCTACTCTGAGCCCTATTTCATTTTAGATGGGAAGAAAAGACACAGAATTCGTCTGTATGATTTATTGGGAGGTGTACATCTGCGTTAATTGTATCATGATTTTCTTCTTTATTGAGTTGGTTTTTTTTTTACTTTGATGAAATCTAGACAGGTGCTTTTTCTAGATTGGTGTCATTTCAATTAATTGAACAGTCTTGAGAGAATGGCATGTGTTGTACAGTTCACTTTTTTGAAAGTTTCCTCTCATTTTATAGCTAGTAGAATTGAGCGTTTAAATAGAATTACAAGCATTTGATATAAAGCATGCTAAGGAGTTAATTTTATGTTTATGCTTTCTGAAACTTTTTTTAACCAGATACCTAATACTGTATGTGTAAAGCTGCTTTCTGTCATAGCAAGGTTGAGATCCTGGAGGAAAGGCTGCTGCTCTGAGGGTAAATATAGATGAAGAGAGGGTGGGAAGAGTGTGGCCAGCAGGTTGAGGAAGGTGATCCTCCCCCTCCACTTGGCCCTGGTGAGGCCACACCTGGGCCTCACCACAAAAAAATGAAATTTCCTTTTGGGAAGGGCAACGATATCTTGTGACCCAGAAAGGAAAGACAAACGCTCTGGAATGGAGATAGGATCAAATGAAATGCGTCTGAAAAAAAACACAAAAAACAGAAAATTGGGACATCTGGTGACTACCAGAAAATGGTCGGGGAGGAAATGAGGTGCAGTGCAAAGGACCCAAACATGCCAAAACTAACCTCTGAGAAGTTGCAAAAGCAGAGGAAAACATCAAGGAGGAAGACAGGGTTTTGATGGGAAGATATGAGTGACATGGCATGGATACCGAAAAAATAGAAAACACAAAATTGCGAAATTTAGTGACTGCGAGACAATGGACCAGGATTCCATGAGGTGCAGTGCAAAGCACCAAAACACACCAAAACTAACCTCAGAGATGTTGCAAAAGCAGGAGAAAAAGTCGAGGAGGAAGACAGAACGCTGAGGGGAGGATAGGAGTGACATGGCATGGATACCAGAAAAAAAAAATAAAAATTCATCGCCAAAGTCAAAGCCATCCAAAGGCACGGGATGCCCAAAGCTGCTGGGATATGGACCGAAGATTGCTTACTCGATTCCCATTGAAATCGCAAGATTTCGTTTCCCTTCCCGAAAGGAAATGAAATTTCCTTTCGGGAAGGGAAACGAAATCTTGTGACCCAGAAAGGAAAGACTTACAAACGCTCTGGAGAGGAGATAGGATCAACTGAAATGCGACTGAAAAAAACCCACAAATACCAGAAAATTGGGACATCTGGTGACTAGACACAACTGTGTCCAGTTCTGGCCTCCTCAGTACAAGAAAGAGAAGGAGCTTCTGGAGAGGGTCCAGCACAGGGCAGGAAGGATGGACAGGGCAGGAAGGATGGACTGGGACATCTCTCCTATGGAGGAGAGGGTGAGGCAGCTGGGCTGTTTAGTCTGGAGAAGACTGATCGCATTAATGTGCATAAATCTCTGAAAGGCACATGTCAAGAGGATGGTGCCAGACTCTTTTCAGTGCTGCCCAGCTACAGGATGAGGAGAAATGGCCATAAACTAAACCACAGTTCCACCTCAACCTGAGGAAGTACTTCATCACGCTGAGGGCGGCAGAACACTGGGACAGGCTGCCCGGGGAGGTCATGGAGTGTCCCTCTCCGCAGGCATTCCAAGCCCACCTGGTTCCCGGAGGCGGCCCTGCCTTGGCCTGCGGCTCGAGTGGGTGTCCGCGGCGGTGCCGCTGCGCGCAGCCGCCGCCAGGTGGCAGGAGCGGCCCGCGCCGGCTCCGGGCAGGCGAGGCGGGCGCTGCCTGTGGGGAGCCCGGCCCGGCCTCGCCCCGGCCCGCGGCTCCCCGGGCTCCGTGCGGAAAGCCGCCCTGCTCGCCCTCACCTGCTCGGTACGTCGCGGTGCCCTCTGCAGGCTGCCCTCCCGCATCCCGCACCAGGGAAGGGGGACCAGGCCTGAGGAGAGCCTTGGGAGCGGCTGCCACCCGCTGCAGCACGCGTCCCGGCACGGACGGCAGAGCTCCGGCTACATTAACTGCTCCTGCGGAAAAAAAACCAACGAAAACAAACAAACCCCACCCAAACCAAAACCAACAACAACAACAAAAAAATAATGCTAGCTCAGAAATCATTCTCCCGCTGGAAAATGAGGAAAGCTTTGTATACACTCTGTCTAGAATGAGACCTTTACACTCATAAAGGCTTTAGAGGAATTTTGGGGCTTCTGCCCATGTTTGTACTACTTTCCCAGCATCACTGTTACAAAGTATTTCATTAAAAGCCAATGTCTCCACATCAGAACGAATTGGTGGCATTGGGGAGCTTAGTTTTATTTTGTTTCTTTTTCTCTGTCAAATCTTTTTGAGCTTGAAAGCCTTGGTTGAGATCCTGGAGGAAAGGCTTGAAAGCCTTGCCTTCTTTCCTTGCTGTTGAAAAAGAAAATGTCAAGCAAAACATGCACTATCAAAACATACATGGCACTCAATGTACTCTAACAAGTCCTGGTAGTAAATTGAAGTTCTAGATGGGAGAACCCAACAACAGCAATGATTTGAGGAAACTCAATAAACAGATGTAGTTTAAGTCAAGAAAGCTCTGCAAAAGAGGCCCTAAGGATTATCCATCTTCTCTCATATAATAGATGCTTCTGAAATCTGCTTATTGGAAGAAATAAATTTTAATTTAGGCATTCCAGCACTTGCAAAGTATATGTATGACAGAGCTGAAACCAGGTGAGGAATTGCACATTGTTTGAGGATATACTGTCTTGGAGGATATACTGAACTGTGAAAATGAAGGTTTCTTAAAATTCCTGGCAGTGCTTGGAAAATCTGTAGTATTTGTAAGTTTAAATTATTTTGATGGTTAGAAATGTCATACTCCTTTGAACTCTTCTTTTCAGCTTAATTTTAAAATATACAGAAGCCATGGGGAGGAGAATCCGCTTCTCTATGGCAAGATTAGATAAAGAGGCATTTATAACAGGCCCATGTCTGTGACCAAAGGTTCTGCAAGATATGATTTGTAGCTTGGAGGTGTTTTCCTCCTGGGCCTTACCACCCATCCCCCACAAAAAGTTGGTGTGTGCAGTAGAACCCATGTCCCTGTGGCAGCCACATGCAGTTTGCACACACAGCTGAGGATGGCCTGCTGGGACAGTTCCTCAGCACTGTGTCCATGGCACAAATGGGATGTATGTGCATTGGTCAGTGCAGAGCCAGAAAGTTATTTGTGACAGACACCTCTGCCCACTGGCTCAGGACAGTGCCCAAGTGCTGCTGAGCATCCCTGCTGCTGCACCAGGTCACCTCCCTCCCCTGAAATTTGTAGGAGACAAAGTGTATGACAGGGACCTCCTCCCACCTCTGCAGATTTTCAATCAAATTGCACCTGTCATGGTTTGTATTTATTGTTGTGTTTTTCTTCAGCTAAATTTAGCTCTAAAATAAAGCTCCAAATTTCATACCCCAAGGCATGAAAAATTTGAGCTGTTTGTTGCTCGGTGCAGATATGAAAATGGCCGAAGTACAGATCAGGCCAATATATGTTCATAATTAAAACCACGTATAAGTAGGCAGGGTTTAGAAAAAAAAGATCTGTGCAATAGTGATGTTAAATGATGCTCCCTGTTTGAATCCAGTGTTATAAGGACAGACCAGTTTGAAATGGACACAGGAGAAAAGGTTAATTTGTAGTGTGTTATTACCTGAAGCTAAACTACAGACAGCAGAATTAATTCTTTCACATACAACTTCAGTGTTTGCTTAAAATGTATGAGTGAAAGTAGCTCATTTATTTACTTGCTGTATGTTCTGCAAGCTTTCTTGGGGCACTGTGTGTGTATTTTATATATATATATATGTGTGTGTGTATGTGTGTGTGAATTTATATGTTTGTTTTTTTTCTTTCCAGGACTTTACTGACTGTTGGTGAAAAGTATAATTTGCATTCTCCACTTCTGTTAAGCAGAAGGACTCTTGTAATATATAATGTTTCCTCCACTCAGAATCAGTTTAGCGTCCACTCATTCCCTGTGTTTCTGAAGGGTAGCCTTGTGGCACAACTGCATCTTGCTGTTTTTCTTAAGGTGTATACCACACGATCCTAGCATTCCTCTTGGGAAGTAGATAGTTATTCATATTGTAGCTGAGTCTCATTAATTATCTGCTGTCTGTGTAAAGCACTCTCCAATTATACCACCAGGTACCTGTTGCTAAGCTTCATTTGTCTTTGCCTTCATTGTGCTTTTGCCATAGCAAATTCTCTTGCATCCGTGAGAGTTGCTATTTATTCCTTAGTACCTGATGTTTTACAGTCTCCTGACCTGATTTTTCCCAAACATTTTTGTATAAGTAATAGGTACTCCTCAATTTTCTGCTCTTCTCTTAGCTCGTGTGGCCATAGCTGCAAGAAAAGGCAGACAGTGGGACATACAGTTTAATACTCTATTGTATTTTTGGTTTCTACAGGAGACTACATTTTCTCAAGCATTAATTGCAATGCTGTCTTTATAAATCTTGTTCTCTTCTCCCACAGGATTTGCAAATAGAGCGAGAGAGGACTGTGTATAACATTTCTGGTGGCTGCACAGCTCTGGTGGTGGTGTATTTGTTGGGGAAGCTTTATGTGGCAAACGCTGGTGATAGCAGGTAAGTGTGTTGTCTCCCCAGTTAATCCTTCACCCCAAACTGCCCAGGCCTGCTGTTACAGAGTTCCTTAAATGCAGACAGCATCACAAGAAGATTCTGTTTCTTGGCTGGACACTTAGCACTTCTCACAGAAATTAATGCAAGTGCCAGGGATGGTGTTCCAGTATCTTGACCAGTGGTTGCAGTCAGGGAAACTGATAACACTTCTGGCCTGTAGCAGTTTCTGAATTACTTGATGTTTGCAGAGAAGTGGAAAGGTGCTAAAAAGCCATTGAAACAGAAGAGGTGTTGGGCGTGTAGTAGAATTGTGAACACTGACAAGGTGACTGTATCCGGAGCAGCTGGTGGGGCTACATTTGTTCTATAGGAAGTCCTGTGGCTCCTGTTGCCAGGCTTAGTCTTGATAGGCCATTTGGCTTCCAGATTTTCATGTAATTGAAGGTAGTGATCAGTATGCAAATAGCTGCTACTCTCGCCTTAGGGGGGAGGAGAGGGAGACAGACTGTCTAGGTTTTTCGCCTTGTCCTGTTCTAGCTCAAGTACTTGTCCAATTCTCAGAATTGAATGATATTGCTCAGGAGCTGTTGCTTTGGTGGTTTTTTTTGCAGTTAGGTTCTTGAAGACTCATGATAAGAAGCATTTTCTTTGTCTTCTGATGTTGCTAAAGATAAGAGCATACTGGAAATCTCTTTTTCCAGATGGAAAGAACTTGAATTCTTTTCCCCTCTCTAACTCTGCACTCACCATCATTGTAGACAATGAGGCTCTTCTTGCAAGCCTTTAGACTTCACATGTTTCTTTTGGCAGCGCACTGCATAAACAGAGCAGGGAGAACAGTTTGCATGCAATACTAACTGCTCGTGTATTCTGTTTATTAACAGCCGAGTAATTAACATGTGCAAGGGTATTGAACCATGTTGTCCTTGTGCCTAAAGAGGGACAGAGGGTAGACAGTGTTAAAGGACTAAAGTAGGTACTTATTAAAAGCCTTTTAAAGGGTACACCTTGGGCAGTACAAGAGTCTGGCTGTGGCTCCACCCAAAATGCAACCAAGATGATCAACTGGTCAGGAGTTTTTACACTTTTATTAGTTTTGGTCCATTTACATATTGGGGTTAATTTTCCAATTACAGCTTCAGGTTATGAAGTCCCATCCTCCCAGACTGCTCTCCTCAATTCACTGTTGTTTACCCTTTTTGGGACTAAAACTGTAATGGTGTCCTTGGTTCTCTGGATAGAAATGTATTGTTTTGTCTAACTGAACTGTGAAGAGAATTTGCTAACACTTTATATGAAATTCAGAGTTACATACAAATAGAAGTACAGTACAGAATCAGAAAAATATGAAAGCTAAAACTTAAGACGTCAGTCTTTAGGTGAAGACTGCTATGTTTGTATTTAAGGTTTGTGCATACGCACTGAACTGTGCATACGCAGTTCAGGTTTGTAGTGCGCACACCACATAAGAGACAACACTCAAAAGTTAAGGTTCTTGTAGTTTAAACCTAAAATTTTTATAAGGTTTGTGCATACGCACTGAACTGTGCATACGCAGTTCAGGTTTGTAGTGCGCACACCACATAACAGAGACAACACTCAAAAGTTAAGGGTTTTGTAGTTTAAACCTAAGATTTTTTTTGCCTCTTGCTGCCTTACACTGTGTAGGAAGTCAGATAAATACTTTGTGCATAAAATTCCTGTTCTTTTCATGTTGGTGACTGTTTTAAAGATGCTAAATTTGCTCTGTGTTGCAATTTGTTCACTCAGTTTCTGGCCTTACACTGTGTAGGAAGTCAGATAAATACTTTGTGCATAAAATTCCTGTTCTTTTCATGTTGGTGCATGTTTTAAAGATGCTAATTTTGCTCTGTGTGTTGCAATTTGTTCACCCAGTTTCTATTGACAAGTGACATATTTGAATCTCCTTTTTGTTTCCAATGTCAAGTGTGTCCTCACATAGTAGCTGCAAATGTGTGAGGTGATCACCTGTCTGGTCAACAGAACTACCAGCTGAACTACATTCTGTCTCTTCTGCCATTAAATTAGGAATAATAGTGTTTTCTTGTGCTATTGCACTTGAAGTACAGTTGAACCTCTTTCTTTGAGTTGGCTAATTTGCTTTATTGTCTCTTAAAAGTGTACTGTGTAAAACTGGCCATGCAGGACTTATGTTTGAGTAGCCAAGATCTTTGTTCTTAAATGACTGGAACTGGCTGCTTCCAGTTTCCTGAGAATTCCTTCTGTGCTCCCTGAGAGTAGCCTTACCTCCACTGCAGCCTCTGATACCCAAGGGCAAGACACGGCTGTTGGTGGTGATCTGGAGTTGGTGCCAGAGTATTGGTGTAACTGTAGTTAAACATACTAAGTCTTCAAGAAGTTTTGCATGTTCATTAAGTCCACCCAGAATATCTATTCAGAAAAAGGAGGGAGGAAACAAAAGGAAACCATCATCAAGATTGGGTGTTGTTTGAACCAGGATTCAAATTCTCTTTCCTAACATCTTGTTGGTAATGAAGTCCCTCCAGATTATTCAAAATAGTTTGGTTTTGTGTTTCCTAAATGGACCTCACAGAAAGTCTCTTGTATGCTGAGCAGAATTATTCCAAAATCTTTAATTTTCAGCTAAGTTCTTTCCTAGCTCAGAAGAAATTTTGAAGCTTTAAAGTGTAGATCAGTTGGTCTGGGTCTCTCCCACCAAATCCCCTCTTTCCCATTTACGGGGAAAAAAAAACAGTTGTTGCAAAACATCCAGGTTGCTGTCATGACAAAACTGACATTTTAGGACTAGACAAGCCACTCCGAAGTTGTCTGCCCCCTGCCAGGGTGCACAGTGCCTGCCTGTATTTTGAAGACCCCCAGTTATGTAGTCAAGAAATTTTACATGTGTTAGTTGGGAAAAATAAGTTTATTTTTGCTGTCTCATGCCTTGTGTAGTCAACTTTGTGGTTTGTACAGATAAAAGGGAGGGCAGTGAGAAATACAATAAGGAAACTACTTCAAGAAATGGTTACTTGCTGTCGAGAAGAAGGGTGGGTTTGTTTTTTCTCTCAAACAGGGGCCTTTGTCTTGTTGCTGTTGGAACTAGATGATGAAACCCTTAGTTCTTAGTTTCTTTGAGTTCACCTACTCATTTGTGCCTTTCCCCTCTCCTCATTCTTCTTCTTCCCTCTCTGCTACCCCACTGGAAAAAGCCTGCAAATAAGTTTCCCACAGATAGGAATCCATGAGAGAAGGTTTTGAGTGGGAAATGAACATTTTGGGTTCATGCAAACCTAACCAAAGGTTAGGCTTTATAATTTCAGAGAACTTCAAAACAGCAGAAGCTTTTAAAGTGGCGTTTTGAACAGCTTCTGCTGTCAGAGGACCAAGGTATGTGCAACAAACTGTTACTATCACAATGAGACTAAGGAAATGTTAAGTGTGAGACTTGAATAATAATGTACTGTGTGATGCCAGCTATACCTCAGACTTATGTCTGTGGTATTCAGTTTATCCACCAAAGCTTCTCAAATCTAATCATTTCATGCCACGTACCCTGGCAATGTTGTATAGCAGCTGTCCTTTTGTAGTTGATGTGTAATTACATCATGAAAAGACTTTAATTACCATATTACTAAATTACCAGCCAGCAATCCTTTCAGGTTCAGCCCTAGCTCACTTCTGTATGGACTATTAGGCTTCTCCAAGCTGAACACTTTTGGTTGGTGTAAAAGGGAGGAAAAATTGTGGTAATTGTAGGTTTTGTTATGAGCTATTATTGAGCTTGATGTTATGGCATCACTAATGTCAATGATATAATTAAACTTCTGCTAACGATGCAATCACAGTTCTGTAATAATTATATGTTAACTGCACATGATACCAGAGCCCTACTAAAAATGAGGTGATGTATTCAGAGCCTGATAAAAACAACTTGGAAGGAACTGCTTTCATTCTTGAATGGCTTGTCTGATCATTCTTGGACTCTGCCATAAATATACCTATTTGTACAGTCAAAATTCATATATCTGAATATCGGCCAAAACTTTTTCTAATGTTTCTTTCTCTTTCATCTTTTCAGTGATTAGCATTGTCCATGCAAGGTTATCTGATTAGGGACTGATAGTGCTATAGTCAGCTATCCAATGCTTTTTTGGTGAGAATCAAGGCGCTGTGTTTTGCTTACCAGCATGACATATTTGCTATGAAAACTAGGCCATTGGAATAGCTGCTTTTTATTTGTTTTCTTTTTGAAATATGGAGTAATAAATCTTTTCTGGCCATTGTTTTAAATATTGTTTTCAGTTCTATATTGCTAAAGTGACTTTTATGTCTAAACTGCCATGACACGCCTTGTTAACCTCAGTTCTTTTTAGTTTTATGCTCTTTATTAGGATGTTGTTTTATGGCTACTGATGAAGCAGTTGTAAAACAGGGACTTAATGTTTTTACTGATTACTGCCCAATTATTGTATAGCCTCATGCAACATAACATTTGTCCAATATCACTACAATGACTGTAATGCAATATGATGATATTAACCATGTTTGGCACAAGCATTGTTCTGGCTTTTGTGTTGTCTGGAGCTGCTCAGAGACTGCAGGCACTTCCATTTTGTGCTGTGCATGAAGCCACATAGGGAAGCTGTGCCTTTATCGTTATACAAGAAGCAGAACATTGCAAGTTGATTTGACTTTTCCATATACCCTGAAACCCTCACTAAATCTGCAAATGGGTTCTCGGGCCTTTCCTGATTTATTGGCAGAACATGGCATGAAAGCAAAGAGCCTGATGTTTCAAAGGCTCCATAGACTTGCAGGGTCACTGAATTTTTTGCTTTGCTTCATCAGCTCTTTTTTATCATCTTTTTGCCTCCTTGCTTTTGCTTCCCAGTACTTATGTTTTCAGGGCATATTCACACTCTACTTGAATATACCTCCTCATGTCCAGAATAGATTTTCTCCTCCTTTTTGCAAGTGTAAAATTACTGCTAAGGCATTTTGGCTTATTAAATGGTAGG